TCACTAGTCTCGAACATGGTTATGACGGGTGAAGCTCTGATTTCCTTGTGGTTTGATGCCATGTGTTCGAATGTTAAATTCTTTCTGCGATGTTCAAAGGTCAGCATATCCTGTTAGCAAAGGTCATTCTCTTGCTTCAGATTATCAGTTTAATATTTCAGGCTCTCCCAAGTCAACGCGATTGTCAGTTATGGCGAATTAAGCAAGGAGGGACCGAAAAGCAGTTGGACGAAGCCGGAGAGGAGCCCGCGGGGCTGCGTGTGCGGGAGGCGCCACTGGTGGCACTCCTCCCTCCGAGCTCTCGCTCCTGCGCTCTGCTCAGCCGCGGGGCGCTGGGGGGACCCGGCGAGACCTTAGAGTGAAGGTCCTGAGCTTTTCTGGGTATTAAAGATCCATTTCAGTGTTCTAAGAAGGTTGGTGAAGTATTAAGCTTGATGCTCTGGCAAAATCCCAAGTTACATAATTATATTATTCTGCTTACTTGAATTGTCCTTTCAATTTCAAATAGAGATGATACAGTCCTTCTCAAAGGGTAGTTTTTCCATGAATTGTTAAATAGCTGCTGCGTTCCAGCAGTGGATAAAGCAATTTCTGTGTTCACCTCTTAACCATGTATTGATAGTGGTGTTACGAAATGTTAAAATCTATAGTGAAAACTCCTATACAAAGACAAGTCCTCATTAGGTGGATCTACTCTGCATTTTTTTCTTTACTAACAAAAATGTTTACTGTAGTAACTCAAGAAAATACCTAGCAGCAGACTAATAATTTCTACTGTATCTGTGCATCATCCACAATTTTTTATCCTCTCTGTGAGTACATAAGCACAAAATTAAAATCTGACTATGCTGTTGTGCAGATTGTTGGGAGACAGGGGGTCGCTTTTTTTTTTTTCTTTTTTTGGAATGCACAGGGTAGCTGATGGCAAAATTTGGCTCAGATATTTTTATTACTTGTGATGATACAAGAAATGAGGGAACTAGCCTGATTCTCAAATCTCAAGCTGAATTTACATTCAAGAAAGCTATTTGTGGTCAAGTGTCTCACACTGAAGAAACAGGAGAAAAACCTAGTAATATCTTGTGCTCAATACAAGTTGGTAGTAATTGCAAAGACCCACTCTGCTACAGTCAATTGAACTGAAAAGGTGAACTTCTAGTTTGTCCACTAGTAATAGTGTAGCAGCATTTCCATCCTGTTCTTTTCCCAGGGCTGTGTCAAACTGTCAGTGTGGGAGACGCAGATAGTAGCATCAACTCATAGATTTGGGGCATATTCCACCATCGTTTACCACTGCTTTCAGAGAAATTTCTCATGCAGACATCCCTGTCACTTTGTCTTGCTAGAGTTCTTATTATAGGTGGTGCTTTTTTATAGCAAACTAGTGACAGGTCTGAAGAAACTTTCACTTCCCATTTTCTGAGCCTGCAGAGTGCTAGTTTCCAGGGAAGAAAATGCTGTGCCACTGGGTCAAGCTGGCAGTAAGCTTGAGTTAATTAAACTTAAGTTTGGGAGTTAAGAAAGGTTGAAGACAGCTTTTGGACAGTGAGTTGTGTATTGTTCTGCTGCTCTATTGAGTCATCATGATTATTTTTGGATGGGAGTAGTTCACAGAAGGCAATGGGACTGCTCATTTTGATGTAGGTAAATACCTGCATGAACAGTTAATGAGTCCGTTACAACAGGTGCTCTGCTGCAATAAAAGGCTTAAATTTCCATTATGAGAACTGGTTCTGCCTCCTCCCAACAGTTCTTCCTTAAAACTTCCTTTGGTTTGCTGTTCTGCTAGAAGTTTTAATATTACCTGAAGTATTTGCTGCTCTTGAGTAGTAGATTGTACATCACAAATAGCCTTAGACCAGCAGTTTTTTACTGTTTGAGGCTATTTGGATATTGCTTCTAAAAGAGGTTGCAAAAATATAGATGTCAACAGTGAATAATTATGAAAGGAAGTCAGGAGTTACATTTTAACTGTTCTGGTACCTGGATTTGTCATTAGGATTTAGGTGCATTTGATAAATCTTAATTATATACAATTTCTAATTAGAAAATGACAGAAGGTGCAAGCGCCTCTTAGTGTGGTAACATAATATGTAATCATACATAAATATGTATAATTGGCTTTGTTGTTTACTACTGAGTTAAGAACACTGCAAACTTTCGAATAGTCCTGAAGAATACCGACAGTCTTCAGAAAGCTTACTGTGCACTTCTCTATGTGCTAGGCAGTATAATAGATCTGAGTGTTAGAATATACCTACAAACTTTTCTGGCTCTAAGTAAGTTGGGAAATTCAGGAATATAGGGTTAGCATATACTTTACAATTTTTATGGACTGTATTACAAATGGGATCACATTTTTCATTGAAGACGTGAATTAATTATAAAAATAGTGCTGCGTGGCTGATTATTTTCAAAGTAACAGCTGAGGCTGATATTACTAGTGCCTCAACAAAAAGATCCTGTGGCCAAAATGGAAAAAAAATTAGAATGGATAATAGGACTACTGAAACAGCATAGCAATATTTCAGATTTAACATCTCTATTGATCTACATTTGTTAACATACTTAGTCTTTGATCAAAAAATCTGGTCATCCCTTTAGAATTAGTACTATTTATTTGCAAAGTTTGATATTACTTGAAGCAAAATTTTATTTTCTGGATTTAAAAAAATAATTCTTTTGGTTATTAATACCTTAAAAACTGGCACGGTTAATGCTTTTATGTTGTTTTAACAAAACTGAGCTCTGATGATTATAATATCGTAGAAACTTATGGATTGACTTCCATTCTATCTAGGTGTCATTTATTTGAAAGTAGTTATGAAAGTCCTGAATTGACTTGGTGCATTTATAGTGATTACTTCTCAATTAACTGTAGGAAATATTTTTAATACAGCTGTCTGTTAAGATGGCCTCATCACAGGAGGAATATCATACTATATATAATACTACTATTAATCTGCAGCAGAAAAGTTGGTTCTTTTGTTGGGGGGGACTACAGTGCATTAATGATAAGTCTGGTAGGAAGATTCAGTCTTAAAAGCTTCTCATGGAAAATGAGAACAAAGAAAGATGGTATTTCATCAGCCATCTGCCAGTTGGCATGTCAACAGTATTTTTATATAGGTGAGATTTCACACTGAAGAAGCCTTCCAATAGCATTTCTCACCAGGGCTGTGTTATGGTGGATGCAATTTGAAAATTTATGTAGTTAGAACTATTTCTCACTCCTCAGTTACTGTGATGATCACCTGGAACTACACTTTCTAATGGATGTTGCTTTCTTAAACTTATTGGTAGAAGAGTAATAACCTTACCCAAACATGTTTTTGATGCCTACAGAATAGAAAACCAAATTACGACATGAAACCTTTGACAAGAGGTTTAACAATATTTAATGCCTTAATTCAAAATAGTATGCATATACTGTTGTGAGCCAAGCTATGAGTAGTTAGAACCTGTGGTAAACTTTATAATAAGAAAGCTATTAAAGCCCCAATAATGTGTTGTATATAAAGTGATGCAATGATGCACTGTTGAGCATGCAAAATACCTTAAAGCAAAAGATACTGAGTTCATTGTTTTGTTAACTTGACAACAGCTTAAATGTCAGCATGAGGTTATTTCATTCCTAATTGTTTTTCCAAAAAACATAAGGGGGCTAATCTATGTTTATTATAATTGTGATAGAGGGCTATACACAACTTTGTTGCCACAGTGGCATTATGTGTTTAGCCTTATTCTCCAACCACCTGAAAAAGACAGGAAAATATATTGAATTATGCTTCCTCTTAATTATGAAATCTGTTATTACTTTTGCGGTCGGGAGCAAATTCTATCAATGGGGTTTAAAAGGTCCAACAGCATTAAGTACCTATCTAAAAAATCTGACCTTTTATGCCACTCTAAGAGAAATTAATTAAAGGTGTGCATTAAGGAAATATGCTATCCTGAATAATAACAGTAATGCAATATGGAAGTCTCCTTTGCTGGCATCTGATCAGTTCATATTAGAAATATCCAGTAAAACTTCATGGCTTAGTAGACTTCTTATCAGTACTTTCCTGATTTTTGGCTTGGTGCTGTGGTATGAATGGGTCACTGTTCAGCACTGCCATGGTAACAAATGGTTTGACTGTGATTCAGGGTGGACATAATCAGTTCAGCTTTGTACCTGCTCGTTCTTTTTTCTGTTCCTGTATTGACAAGCAAAGGTAGTGTTACAGGACAAGTGCCAGACCAGAGGAATCACCTGCAGAGGTGATTGTCTGTAAGACCACCACTTTGTAGTTTGTTGAGAAAGTGTGTTCCAGTTTATTGAACAGCATTTATTAGGAATGCAAATTGACAGATTTAAATGCACAATTAATCATGTAAACTTATATCACCAAGGAATCACTATTAAATAAAAGCATGATTGTTTTCAGAGACTCTTCCAGGATCCAAAGTACACTGAGCAATTGTAACTTTATCATAATTTTAAATATATAAAGTTGAACGACTCATCTTATGTATTATTGCAGCCTTATGAAATTTGGGCATAGTAGTGTATAAAGATAATGTACATTGCTTATTCTGAGTGTCCTATTGTATTAATCTTTGTATATCTCATCCCTTAGCAATAAATCTGAGGGAGTCAATCCTCATTCTCCTTCCAGTCCAAAATGTTTCTTCTAACTTCTTTAAAAACAAAACCAAACAAAATAATCCCATACCTTTCTTCTAAAAAAAAAGTTTCATAAAGGCTTTAGGCTTTTTCTAAAATAAGTATGGTGATAGTTTAATCATAAAAGCACTTTATGTAATGCTAATACATTTTTATGATTTTAATTTTTTAATGTGTTGTCTTCTCTCTAGAACTAACACATAAATACTGCATCTATCCCATGATGAGCTACTGAACTAGCATTAACATTGCAGGTTTCTTTTGGTTCTCCAATTCCTAAATTCTTTAACTATTGCACATATGGGTTTAAACAAAGAAAAATACAGAATACTTTTGGTTGAGCACCATTTAGTACAATAAAAAGAATTAATGATCTGAGAAATTGGTTAAGCTTAATTTTCAGAAATGCAGGTTATTTTGCAGGAATGTATAAATGACAACACCAATTCAAGTGGTATAAAGTATTCTGCTCACTGAAATGCTAAACTTTATTTACACAGCTTTCTATGAAATATTACTAAAGAATTGGTGGTATGTAAACAACGGTACATGCAATTTGATCCCTTTACTAAGAAAAATAAGTTTACAGTTCTGTTAAATAAAGACCAAATGCTATTATATACAGTCTGTTAACTGAAAGGCTTTGTGAGACATTCAGGTCTAATTTTAATACTTTCCAAATAAATACCAAATAATGCAACATTTACAAATAGCACACCAGCAGTATTTTCACGGTAATAATTTTACAAATCAGAATTTAGTATTTCAATGAAGCAAATGAGTAGCAGCTCCTTCATAAATATTAAGGCATGTCACATAGCATCAAAATGGAACCGATGAGCCTCCTGTCGCTTCTCTCTGTCATCTGCTTTCTGAAAAATAATAATAAAAAAACCCCACTTTGTGGGATCTAGAGCAATACTGTTACAGAAATGAGTTGTCAAATGTCAGAGAATGGTTGATTTTTTTCCAAGTCACTCATTTGACAAAAGGCAAAAAGATTAGTAAAAGCCCAAATAATTAGCTTTTAAATGATGTCAGTTTGAAATAGCAATAATCTACTAAAAATTGGCTTCTGCTGGTAATGCTCAGCTCTTTTAGAATTTGTGACCCATTATTTTCTATTATTTCTAATAATGTTTTTTTAAAAAGGAGTATTTAAAAATGAATGTTTCCTAGTATGCATTTATTTAGTCTGCATTATAAATATGAAATGAAATTACGCTGGATTAATGGTAAATGTCATCTATGTTACACTTAAAATGAGATTATTTTTAAAAAACTCTGTTAAACATAAATTTAGACAAAGATGGTAGTTCTACCATCAATTAACAGCACCAAGTAGGCTAAAAATGTTCCGTGTTTTTGTTTGTATTGCAAAGAATTAAGGTAGGATGCATTTCCCTGCTTATTTATGCAGAACACACATTGATCTGCTGAAAGAGTAGTTTGGATGGTGCTTGGAAAAAAGCAGCATATTTAAATTGTACCTATGATCCATGTAATGTGTAAAAACATGTCGTCTCCCACAAGCCTCCTCTTGTGTTCTAAAGCAGTAACAGAGCATGAAAGCACTTATTAAAGGATTTTTGAACACAGTGTGAACTTTTCTAGAAAACAGTCTTTTTGTCATGACAGACAGTATGTGTAAATCCTAGCATAAGATAATTTAGCAAAACAGATTTAAATGATTTTTAGCTTGCTTATACCTAACTTTTTTTTTTTTTAAATGAGTAAAATGAAGAAAAGCCTTTAGAGTATGCTGTGTGGGCATTCAGATTTGTATCTCAGTTGATAAATATAAATAACAATGTATGAAATCGGTAGAAATCGGTGCATGTGCTCTGCCATGAAAGTTTCTCATCTGCTTTGGCTCAAGGCCAAAGATTTCCTCATCACACAATGTTTACGTATGATAGCAACTCCATTGAATTAACTATGGATTTTACTGCATTTTGTGGCGGCAGCAGAGCTGTCAGTGAAGTTTAAGATATATCAGTCTGGCTTTCTGACAGAGACTTTATCAATGTCAGTAGTATTTTTAATGTCAAAAATGGGGTGGGAAGAAGGGAGTGGCGTACTCTTTCCTACATTGAAATGCTTGTCACGTTCCACAAAATTTTATAGTCTCACTTAGAAAGCAATTTTCACTCCATTTCTTGTATGCTTCCTGAAAAAATTACTACTTCAAATTTGACAGTAACTGATACTCTGATGAATCCATCAAAACTTCTCTAGCAGTAGTATCAATGTGTAGTGTTCACATGACTAGCCCCCTCAAGACCACAAAGCAAGTTATAAAAAATCAGAATAGAGGAGTATCGAGGTCCTTAGCTAATGTAGCAGACTATACTTGTAAGATGAATAATGGTGTACATTCTTCCTCAACTTCTCTTTCATTTCATGTATCAAACCTAAAAACTAGTAACTGAGATTTGAAAGCTTTTTTTTTTTTTTTTTTTAAATGGATCCAAAATTTCTAAGGAATGACAGAGCAACATACTATTCCTACAGTTATTTAAACAATAAAATACTTGGCTAGCAGACAAGTGTATAAGAACTATTGTAGACTAAGAGATCCTATTACTACTTATCTGCAGAGGTCAAAATACATGGTTTATTTTAACTGCTGAATAAAACACTGCAGCTTACAGACAGATATATCCTCTGGGGGAAAAGAAGAGATTGTAACTGCCAGTACATTTCCCCTTCCTTTCTTTGCTATAGGTACTCTAGGTCTGTAAGGGAAAACAGCATTTAGGCAGAACAGTATTTTTATGAGAGGATTACTGAAAGAGGCAGCAAACCAAGAACGAGCTTAGAAACAAAGAACTTTGGAGTTTAACTCCCAGTCATGTCTGTGATGCACAATCCAGCCTTGGTCAAGATTCTTATTTGTTCTGTACCTCAACTGTTTATTCTAAAAATTGGGAAGGTAAAGATCAATAGGAAGGCATTGGAAAATTACAGGAATTGATAAATGTTTATACAGTAGTCTGAAAATACACACAATTTATCCAAATATTTGTGCCTATTTTGAGCAAGATGCAGTGGTTGGAAATGAGTTTATAATATAGCCAATACACCACTTCATTCACACATACCTAATGGGTTTTAAAATGGCTCAGAAAGCACTCACTCTGGGCTGAGTGCTTCTTTACATTCCAATACATGAATTATTATATGAAGAACTGTTTTAAATGTTGACATTAAATCTCTATTTTTCCAGGTGGAATTATACATAGTTAATCCTTCCCCAGCTCAAAGTCCAAGTATTTTTTCTGCTACTCTTGTTGCTTAAGGCGTGTGGGAGACAGAGCACAGTGCAGTCCAGCCAGTGCATAATCCTAGCTAGCAGTTAGCAATGCTCTCTAGGTACAGTATGACATGCTAAGGACAGTCATCGTAAACTTTGTATTTCTTTGCCTTTGTGTGTTTTATTCTCAGCTTACTATTATTTGGAGACTGTATCTAACATTTTGAAGAGTGAAGACTGACAGACAACATTTAAATACGAAGCATGTGCAAAGACTATCTGAATGTTTAACAAGGTCATTTTATTTCCACAAGCACAAAATAACAAACAGTTCTACCATGTCAAAATGTGCAGTAATTTTATCTGACAGCTAAGATTATGGTTTGGGTATGTAGTAGCATTTATTGGCAGTCCTGCCAGTTGGATGTGATTGTGAACTGAGCATAGTTAAGAAAAATGGGAACGCATTTCTTTTGTGACATGAAAGGCGCCTTTCAAAATGCTTCTTCAAATCAATGGATTTCTATACACTGCATGTATAATTTAGACACACAGAGCAAAGCAGCCAATATGCACACGATTGACTCCCTATACAGTCTTGAATGCTAATGTCAGTGCAATCAGCAAAGATATATACAGAAAAAGAGACGTTTTCCTTATTTTTAGATTACCAGCAGAACTCAAGGTAAGTAAACTGAGTTTATGTTCTATATTCCAAAACAGTACTCCTTAAAACTCTGCAAAATAGAAAGCTTAGTTATGAAACAAAACTGTCTCATTTAGTTGGGAATAACTGCTTAATGGCAAAAGCTTATCCATGTTGCTCTTCATTTCCCTTTTTAAGTATCTTAGAGCTTAAATAAAAACAATGCCAATTTTTAAGCTTGCAGTAAATACTGCATTAATAATAAACACCTTTTGGGAATTAATGCAGTCTATGTCAGAAATTATACTGCAGAAAACTACGCAAAAAGCCCCCAATGTACAAGACTGTAAAATACTAGGAAGTGTTAAATAGTATAGAAAATATAGAAAAGAATCTAGTTAATTAAGCTTACCTTTTCTTGCCAGTGTAATATGCCAATTATTGCCAGGATGAAAACGCAGACACCAATTAAGGCTATAGCTGTTAGCAGCACAATGTTACTTGGGGTCAGATACAGCTTGGCACTCCAGCTATATAGAGTGAAAATCCAAGGAAACATTAATACCCTTCATTAGGAAGCAGAAAACAGATTTAACTTATAAAGCTGAAAAGAATCTGCTAGTGTAAGACAGGTAACATCTTGCTCTACAGAAATTAGTGGCTATACTTAGAGACTGAAGCTTAATGGTGTTTACTTGGAAATATATGGCTTAATATAATCATTTTCAGGTAATGCCATGTCTGAATTCAGTTTCTGTTTAACTTCCCAGGAATGCTATGGATATCCTCAGGGACTGACTTTTCTCATTAGGAGATTTATCTCCTGCCCCTGCCCAGGACAAAGTAAAATGCGTAAGAAAACCTTCCACAAAACTGCCTGGGGCTTGGAGAGATGGAGAAGCAGGGTGAAATAAGCCTGTAAGATAGATTGTTTCCTTCACATGAGAAGCTCCTCTTGGACAGGCTCATGGGGTCCAGCTGGTTAGGCATCTCTCAGTCTGAAGTTTACCCAGAGACAATTGGAGTTGTAGACAACATAACCAGTTGATTATGGCAGGAGAATGCTGGAGAGCAACAAAATTAAGCATTTTAAGGGCTTCTGAAAGACATCCCTCAAAAGCTGTGGAGTCCTGAGGCTCAGTTAACACCTTTTCTGTACTACAGGCTTCCTATCATGGGAAAGCTGTCAGTAGAAGGCTCTATGTTGAGGCAGCACTGAGGCCTCTCAGGAAACAACACACCTATGTAAAAAACATTATAAATTTAGGAAGTGTTTATTATGAAATCTGATTTCTTCTGGGGATTCTATCCTCTGCTACTCTACAGTGTCCATGAACTTACTTTATAGGAAAGCAAAAGTAGTTTAAGGGTAAGATGACAGAAAAGTTTTTGTATAACATATACCTTTAAATACCTCAAGACTATAACTAAGTTTTCTTCATCTGGCAGATGTTATTCTTGTGGTTGTTAATTAGCAACTCAAGCAGCACATCACTTCTCAGCTGTTATTTGTCCTATAGTAAAATTAACTGCCGAAACTGATGTCAGAATTAATTTCTGCGTGATAAATGCAACTGACCTCACTAGTAGATCAAGCGGCAAAAAGCAGCTGGAATATGTGACTAATGTTTTCTCTAATAGCAAAGAGAGAAACATGCTCTCTTTCTGGGATAAATATTTTAATTGCGAAGTGAATTCAGTGTTCAAGCTCTTGCGTAACCAACCCATTCACCTTTACTTAAAGAAAAACATTCATACCTGTAGCAACAGATACTGTGTGCAGAAGGGCTGGACTAAAGCTTTTATATGCAACTAGACAGAAATTGCATGTTTGGTGAAACAAAAATGCTTGCTTCATTCATTACCATGCTTGCAATTTGTCAAAAAGAATGTTGGTAAATCTAGCAAATATGTTATTATTTACAGGAGTTGAGCTGGTAATACATTTTGATCGTTTGTATGAGCTGGTAATACATTTTGATTGTTTATGGGCACCATCTAAGAGTCCACATAAATACTTGAGAAGTATTCTGCCTATTTACAGAAGCAACTACATCTACAGAACTGAACTCCCTCCATTGTTCTAAGATTTACTTTCTATACAAGTGACTATTTTTTAACCTACACATAATGCCCAATTTAAACTCTGTATTAATGTTATTTTGTGAAGTGCAAATCAAAATTATGAAGTTACCTTCGAGGAACATTATGAGGATAGGGGATGACTATAAGCTGGGAGTTTGGTATGATAGCTGTCCATTCTTGTTTTCTTACGGACTGAAAGAAAAACAAAGGCTATGTCAATTCCTAACAAACCAACATACTTAAAAGAAAAGAAATTTTCTGTTGAAACATACAAAAGGCAAAACAAAAAACCAGTTGCTTTTAAAAGATTTTAAATGCAAGTGATTATTGCCTTACGTTTGTATAAACCTTTTATTCTGAAAGATCCGAAGTGCTTTAAAAAAAACCCAAAAGCAAAATAACTATTGCTGACATGAAACACAGCATCTGCTTGAAAAGTACAAAGCAATGACATAATAGGGAAAAAAGAAAAGAACCAATTCTACAAAGGAGGCAGGCAAAGCAATTATCCAAATCAGAACTTGGCCTGTATGCTAATTCGAATACCTCACTTTAAAAAGTAGTACCATCAGATCTTTAAAGACTGAAAATGGTTAGGATCCTGCTTTTATGTTTCATATGAAGGTTACATAATCACGGTAATCTCCACCTCCCATTATATTGATCATGGTTTTATCACTGAGGCAGAAAGGATTATGTGAACTTACAGGCTGGCCAGACCAACACCAGGAAAGCTTACAGCTGAGACCATAATAATTGGACTCTCAGATCTAATACACATTTACCGTATAAACAAGCACTATACACCTGTGCTAACATTATCTTAGTGTTAATTTCAGAACTTATACACACCTGCCCCACCAAAAAAAAAAAAAGGCATACAAGGTTCTTCCTGGGAAACTTTTCCGTATACAAACTTCTTTGACAGTCTTAGTTCGGGGTGAGGCGCAGGGGGAAAGAGTGTCCCTAGCAGTATTTCCATCCAAACTCTACTAGAAAAGGTAACACCATAAATATTAGCTTGACAATCTTAAATCTCAACTAACCTTTTCTCCTAAAGGACGAGGAATGCCAACATACAAATGGTCGAGGAAATTAGCACTACGTCCCAAGCCTAGCACGTTGTATGGCAACTGGAGAGCAAAATGTGCTGACTGGCTAAGCTGTCCAGCTGAAATAAAATTAGAAAAGAAGCTCAAGTAGGTATTTTGGAGGGGAAAAAAAAACCAAACCAACAGAGAGAACAACCCCAAAACTGGCAACTTTCTACACAAATACACATTTCAGAGTCAGTAAGAAAAATGTTTAAAAAATTTTAACCAACTGCATGATTATTTAATTCTTAAAGTCTTAAAGTCTCAATCCCACATTTCCAAACTACTTGTGGGCACTCACTCAGAGAATAGCTTAAATGCTTTAGATTTCTAGGTAAGATGATTCTTTTGAGCACCATTTCTATGTTAAACTGAATCTCTACTATTTGTTACAAGTTAAGAAGAAATCAGCTATCCACATTTATTTTGATACGAGTAGTGCCAAGTCTTTTGCCCCACTGATTTACAAGCTCAGCCTCAACATGGGAAGGTTCACTTTAATTCTTATTAGAGTTGATCAGTAACTACTGGTTTTTCCTGTGTCACAAAATTAGCTAAGTAAATTCTCATGAACAAATTCTCAAATATTAAATTGATTTAATGCAAACAGGATTACAGGGGTTGCAAGTTAGGCCCTAGTAAGACCATGTAATTATAAATAGTTAAAGGAGACACTGTAGGTGAAAAATAACAGTTTCCTGAAAAGGCAGTAGGAAAATGGACAAGTGTTGCAGTTATCAACAGCTTCACTAACATCCCATTTCCAAAGTATCCAATTATTCCATTTAAATAAAAACTTTGTAATCTTTTAATTTCTGGCAAACTGATTCAGCTCCTATATAGATTTTTTATTCATTCTCTAGAAAGCCTCTTAGTAAGTAACCTGGTTATACAGCAGGAATGATATCAGCACCCCAGTGAATTCAGCCCTTCATCAGATTGATAGAAATGAGTTCAAGGGATACTTGACAACCACAAGTAGGTTTATGTGATCAACAGAAACAGTTTTTCACAAAGATATGATGTAGTCAGTATTTTTTAAGTGTCAGATTTTTCTCTGCTTTGACACCTGACAGATTATGCCTGAAATTGGAAACTGTAAATTAAGCGACAAAACATAACAGCATGCGAATTAAAGAACATGAATTCACATTTTGTAATGAATTTACAGCCACTCGTTTCTAACTCTCCACACTTTCTTCCAAGGCTCCATTCTGAAAGTTAGTATTTTGCCTCAGACAACTGGCTGTTGGCCATACTAGTTGCACTGAATCTTGCACAGTTGCAGAGAACAGAGCAAAGGAAAAAACTCCCAAACGACAACCACCACAACTTCTCCAGCAAAGCCAAATACCCTTTCAAGAAAAACCAGAAACAAGCTCTCATTTTTGGCTTCTGGAGATAGCCGCTAAGTGCAAGCATGCATTTGTCACGATACAGCAGCACTTACACCAAGGGACTACCAAGATGTGACACCTACTTTCAGAAGCAGCTCTTCAGCTTTTGTATCCTCTTATGGGGGACAAACTACTTTGTATATTGGATGATAATAACTTTGAACCCCTATTCAATACAATGATTACTTCATGGTCCTATTTTTCTGAACCTCCCCACCCCCCACCAGCTTTTTTAGGAAGAAGCTTGCCAGATGCTGTCAGGCATGTTTTGAAACAGGCCTGTTTAATCATGAGGTAAATATCCTGTATTATTGTAGTTTCAAAGCTAGGATAATTTTATTTAAAAAGGCAAGATAAATGTCACCTAAATACGCTTAGATGAGATCTGAAAAATCAGCTTGATGCAGTTACCTTTTTATTAAGCTAAAATGCTATTATAGCAAAAAGAAACAGGAACAGTCTTCCTAAAGATGAGGTGTATTTTAGATTTACTTTTTCCCCATACAGAAACATGTAATGAGCAAGTAGACATGGAAATATTTAAAGAGGATTTGTACTTTCAGTCCTCTGTTGTGAGGGCAAGGTGTACTGTGTACATTGTTAAGTGAACAACTAGATTATGGAATCTGTGGCAGAGAGCATTAGCTGAGCAGCTTTCCTCTTTAAGAACAGTTTTTTTTTTTCCAGTAAGTTGAGATAACAGTATAAGACTTGAGTCTTGAGTCTGTCCCCGCTTTGTCACTGACTTCCCTTACATGATCTTGTCTAAATTGCTCAATCTCCAAGTCTAAAAATTGAGTAATTCTCAAATTAGAGTAAGAACACAATATTTGAAAGCACTGCTTACCAATATAAAAGCAGCAAGGAACAAAGGTAGGTTTATTAAATTTGACTTTGTTATAAACACAAATAAGGTATGTATTACTTGATCATGCTATAACATAATAAAGAATTTTCTTTAACAATTTGTTTCACTAATGCTGAATTCTGAAGGACTTTTCCCAAAAGAACAAGGTACTGCTATAACATTTAACATTGAAAAACTGTTAAAATGACTTTTGAGTGAAATATTTAGGATTATGAGGAGACTGCAACTGAGATCTTCCTTTTTTCTTTCATCATACAAATAAAATGAATGTCAACTAAATTAAAGGAAATAAAAGAAAATGTCATACACTGTGTGCAGTCAGCCTTAAAGAGGTTACAGAGTCAGACACTGCAGCTAGAATTCTTAAAAAGCATTGAATAATTTCATGGCTACTAACACTGGTTCTTATGCCTACTAACATAAGGATAATGAAAACTTACTCTTCAGGATCTAAATAGATCATTTGCAAAGATCAGAAAGGAATGTTTTCTTCTACATAGTAGGCAGAAAATGTGCATATACCTTTTTTTTAATTTGCCTTTAAAATTGCGAGATATTAGCTAAGCAGGATGATAACATATAGAAGGTTCTAGTTTACTTTAAAGCTGGATACAAATATGAAATCTTTGAGACTATTTATTGCTTCACTCCCCCTACATCTATCATAAATTCTATAAGAGTTTGATGGTTACTCAAATGTTCCACTTAGAATTGCAAATAAGTAATTAAGAATGACAAGTGTTTATCTGAGAAACATAAAAACCCTGAACAAAGATTAAAAATAAAAAGTTACAGAGAGTACTGTCAACAGTTTATTGTCATATTTGAAGTTCTCAGTCACCGGTAATTAATTTACTTATGAAAATACTTCAAATTTAATGTAAATAGCAACTCTAGCTATTTGCCCTGATGTAAAACTATTGTGAACAGTTTTCTACTTGTTCCACAAAGATTTGAAAATACCATTCCATCTTCAAGAGGAAAATGGGATTTATTTCTTGTACTAAGATTGTTCTTTTGGAAGTCTCTGCAAGCAAGATGGAAAAAGTGGCTGTTGCTTCACAGTTTGTTTCACTTCATCAGTAGAACTGTTACTATAAACAAGAATTAAAAAAACTTCTCCTGTCCATGCTGTACTTTACTTTATTACTTTTTAATACTACTTCTAAGACTATTCAACACTATGTCTTTTGCCTCAGGTTTCTTTTCAAAAAAGTTATTTGGAAGCACCCACATATCATGGGCTATGGTATTGGTACAGGTGTTGGTGTTTATATTTTTGTTTTAAATCATAAGTCACTAAGTTTATTGCTTCAAAAACCTTGGGCAGAGTAAAAAACCTCAACATTTTAAGACATGGTTTTCAGTGGTTTCAGCCTGTCAAGAGACCAAAATTTTAAGAATTAGCTAATTAAGTTGGGCAGCCAAACCTTAGAAAATTTTGCAAATTTGATATTCAGAAATCATTCTGAACATCTCTGATTCAATCTCCTTATTTTTGAAGTCTGGCATATAAAATTTGAAGCAATACATATCATTAACCTTTTGAAAGTCTTGTCTGAAAAACAAAATGATGTGTTGTCTGACACATAAAGTACTTGTTCTTCTATATCTGAATTAAGGCATTTCCCTTGTTTCTGTTATACTGATGTAAACTTGCTGAAAGCTTAAGAGCAGCCCACTCTGCCCTGGGTTAAATTGTAACGTCCTCAACAGCTTATTTCAGGCAGCATAAGTGCTTAAATGGAGCCAATTTAACTTTATGAAGGGAAGATGACTGCGTTTACATGTAGGAGCAATGCTTTCTATTTTTTCTGTCCTGGTTTCAGCTTGGGATAGTTAATTTTCCTCTCAGTAGCTGGTACAGTTTTGGATTTAGTGTGAGAATAATGTTGGTAACACGCTGATGTTTTAGTTGTTGCTAAGTAGGGCTTATCCCAAGTGAAGGATTTTTTGGTTTCCCATGCTCTGCAAGCAGGTGCATAAGAAGCTGGGAGGGAGCATGGGCAGGACAGCTGACCCCAGCTAGCCAAAGGGCTATTCCAGACCATAGGACATCATGCTCAGTGTGTAAACTGGGGGAGTTCGCCGGGAGGGGCATATCGCTGCTCAGGCATCGGTCAGCGGGTGGTGAGCAACTGCATTGTGCATCACTTGTCTTTTCTAGGGTTTTATTTTTATTATATTCCTTTTCATCACTATTATTACTATTATAGTATTTTATTATTATTATTTGTTAGTATTACATTTTATTTTATGTTAGTTATTAAATCGTTCTTATCTCAACCCACGAGTTTTACTCCCCCCCGCCCCGATTCTCCTCCCCACCCTCCTGGGAGCGGAGGGAGTGAGTGAGTGGCTGCGCTGTGCCTAGTTGCTTGCTGGGGTTAAACCATGGCAGTTTCTTTAAACAGAACTGATAACGTGTGATACTGGATTTATGAACAGTCTAGTTGAACCTGCATAGATTCACAACAAGGAATTTGTTCAGTCAGTTTAAATAAGCTTATTTTGTGGAATAATAGAGGAGAACACACAAGATCACTACACAGGAGTTGAAAGACTAATGGAAACTCTGATTTCAAACTTGTGGTCTCCTGAAGTGCCATTCTTTTAATTTTTATTACGCTTTTCTTGACAAAATATCATTTGCAATTAAGTAGTCCATTAAAGCCATTCAGATTAATTCAAAACACAGTAATAATATTTAGGCTTTCAAAAGTTCCCCAAACTCAATATATTAAACGACTGAATAGCTAAATGTATCTTCATAAATAAAAATGTTATGTCATTATTTCTTCCAGTTGCTATA